AATATTGGGATGTGCGTCCTCGGCCTCCTCGTTATCAGCGGCTCGTCGGCTTGATACACCAACAAAACTCCATCGCTGGAGCTTCACGAGCAGCTGCCCTGGGAGGTGTCTCGTTGCTCGTTGGATATTATATCCTGAAGGAATATATCCAAGATTCTTGCAAGTGCGGTAGAGTGTTTTTTTCGATGCTACCTTCACTATATCTGCAGTGCGGGCGTGTTGGAAATATATCCTATAGGCAATAATATTATATTATTATATTTTCATTATTCATAATTAAGAGTTTATATTTTTATAACTGCTATGATCCTGAAATATGCGATCCAGTGGAAAACTCATATACACGTGTGAAATGATAAATGGTTAAACAATAGGTTCCCGGTCTCGCCTCTAAGATTGGCTCAAGTGTTGTTGGTGATCACGTTTTCCGGATCTAGGGATATCGTTAAGTGTAACAATAGTCTTAAAACAACATTGAGGGTATGACGTTAGAAGAACGATCATATTGAATCGACCCAATACTTGTCTGTCATACTTTGTGATTATATTGTCTAAAATCATCTGTTATAACATGAAGTGTTAGCATGTGTTTTAGTATCTCCAGAGGCGGAATTGGGCCTGGGGCAACTGGCGCTATAGCCCCAGGCGTAGCCCATTTAGTGCTATGTACCCAATAGGAGATTTTGTCAGATTTCTAGCCTTATAGAGGCCCAGCCCCAGGCGTACTAACCAAGGCCCAGCCCCAGGCGTCAGCCCACATTGCTTCTTAGCCCAGGTTAGAGCATTTATAGCCCATATTGTTCTTCTTTCTCGTTAACGTGTTTTGTTCTTCGGAATCAATCGCTAGAGTTCTTTACGGATCAGCGTAAAAAATGTGGGGAGAGGGAGTCACGCTACGCCTTTCTCTAATTCTCTCTACCCCTGATTTTCAGGTGGGTGGGGCCCCTCCCTCCCTCTTAACCCAATCACCATTTACCAAATCATAATGACCCTGTAAAAGCTCTGTAATCATCCGTGAATGTAGCATTACTCCCGCCCCAGTCCACAAGCGTATGTAACGAGATGATTCGAACTTTTTTTTTTGAGAAGATGATTCGAACCTGGACTCGTCAAATCAGGCAACCCCCTCCAGCCCTCTTGTTTCCTCTCCACAATTAATCGCTCGGGCATGTAAATCAGGCAATCTCTTGTTTGTGTTATCAACTACTCGCTCTGATTCAAAATAAGTGTCATGGTTTTAGTTTAAAACTAAAATCACGACATACATTTTGGATTGGGGGTAGTATTTTTTTTTCTGGTTCCGTTGCAGTCCCTCCGTTTCCATTTTACTACTTCACATATAAGATTTGTCTTAAGTCAAACATCATAACTTTTGACTGAAGTTTTATACAAAATCATCAACTGCTACAACACTGGAGATATACAATATGAAAGTTAATTCAATGATGCCTCTAATGATATCAATTTTATATTATGAACGTTAATATTTTTTCTATAATCTTAGTCAAACTTTACTACGATTGACATAATACAAATCTTATATGCGGACTAAAATAAAATGGAGGAAATATCAGCTGGAATCAATGTTGGTGATATTAAATTAAATTATGTCTCTTTTTATTAAAAGGATAAAATATAAATTCAAGATGTGTGATATTTGGCCTTTTTTGAGATATTTTTGTGAGGTGGTTGTATTTGGCATCATTTACAGTTACTTAGTTTTAGCTTTGGGCTTTGAGAAATCCTGGTTCCGCCTCTGAGTATCTCAGACCATGAGAGTGTCTCGCTCACTTCCTACTGGACGGTGGGCTTTGGGGTTACTCAAACATCATCTGTAACAAGGTGATCATAACGACAACTTTCAGGTTCACTGGAAAGTTTGACAAGTGACCTGATAGCTCAAGAGTGGGATTTGCTCCTTCAATGATGGACAGATATTTTTAGGGCCCTCTCGGTGTGACGGCATACATCATCTTCTGGCCAAACATAGGTGACTACGTCACAGGGATGCCGAAACACGTTAACGAGAAAAAAAACCGATAACAAGAGCAACGGCATAGTAAGCATGGTGATGACTCGGAAGGATACCGATGCATATCGGGTTTTGTAAAGTGTTGCGAAGCAAAGGGAACATCACATGATAACCGAAGGTTCACTCGAATTTCATTCGTGTAATCATAGGGACCAATATGGATGTCCACAGTTCCGCTATCGGTCATTGAACGAAAGGGTTTCGTTCATGTCTAGGATTTACCGAACCTAGCGGGTCACAAGCTTAAGGTAATCATGATCTGCTGATTGTTAGTGGTACACGAGTAATGAGAGCATATTTTTGAAATTGTTTCATTAATATCCGGAATAGTTTCAAGAGGTTCCGGAAGCGTTTCAGGGTCACCAGAAGGGTTTCAGTGAATAGCGGGTAATATCGGGTAACTCCACTAGTAGAGGCGGTCCGGCTCCGGCTCTGGTGTAAGGAACGAGCAGGCCACTATGTGAGATCGTCCCCTACTCCATCTTAGCCACGAGCAGGCCGCCGTGCGTGATCGTCCATGGCTCTAGCTTAGGGACGCAGAGGCCGCCGTGCGTAGCGGCACTCATCCCCGTCTCCTGCTTAGGGACGCGGATGCCGCCACACGCTGCAGAGCTCACCCCTGGCTCCTCCTTAGAGATGCGGAGGCGCGTTGCGGAGCTAGACTCTGGATTGGCACCGACACCGCCCGCCGTCTCAAGGCGTGGAGCGCGGTGCAGAACCCTGGTCAGCCTCGTTGAGGCCGAACTGTACCCGGCATGCGGCCACCATGTCCTGGAAGGTGTGCCCTTCCTAGAAGGCATACCGTTGGTCAATATTGTTGCGAGACTGCTGGTAGGGGTCCTCGAAGTACTGGATGCGAGCGGCGTTATCGTTAGCAAGGATCAACGACCATCATCGGTTATTTGGCGCGTAGTTCGTCCGATTTGCCCTCGCCTCTGGCATCAGCCATGCCCGAAAGGCGTGGA